GTTTATTATTTTCTCAACGGAATTCCCCGTGAAGTTTAAGAGAATGTAGTTTAAACAAGAGGGGTTGTTTTGTAGTCGTACTCACAAGGTAATGCAGGGACATGCAGACACAAAAGTTGTTATTTGTTTGCGTCATAGTTGTCCATTGCCAACAGCTTCCTCCCCCCCCAAGAGTTTCAAAACAATAAAAAGAATTTACTCCTTACAGTGAAAACAAAAATGTTAGGAATGCAGGTAAAAGAACGTGTTTTTTGTAAAACCTGCCCAATAGAAATGCAAATTATAATGTGATTCCTTGATTCAGCTTCGCATATTTTCTGGAATGCAAAGTTAGTACGCTTTGGTTTAAAACCCGTTTTAGTCAAGGTATAGGAGATATCATTTGAGTTCTTTGCCGCATATCTACACTTTACTTTCCAGAGGTTATAAAACGTATTCCAGTTTTTATTCAATCCAATTTGAAAGAATTCTCAAACAAAGATTAGATAAATGGTAAAAGGCTAGAATTTAGCGAAAAAATTATGACTAGGAAAAGTACTGCTGAAAACGTATGGCGGTTTCTGCTGATGAATTAAGACTGTTTAGAGAAAGTCTTTACCTTCTTAACATATACATAAAACTTTAATTCTTTAAACTGTGTAGAATACATAAAGGTGTGAACGTGAAAATGTCTCTAATTTAAAACTCATAAATAATGGTTAGTATTATAAGGTTAATTTGCATAATAGAATATCTATAATATATTAAACGTCTTGCCGGGTTATGGAATATGACAGCTGCGTTAATAATGAGCACATCATTGCAATTATTCAAGTACTGATAAAAATTAATCAGCTAACTCAAATTTCGAAGTATTTTAACATTTAGCTGCTCTTTACAGTCAAATTTTCTAAGGGTTAAGTTTAAAGAAAAAGAATACTAAAAGTTTAAACAGTTCTTAAGGACGAATACTTTTCATGCTGTTTCATTTGTGGTTATTACTATTTTCTGCCTTTTTTTTTTTTCTTTAATTCCTTCAACCTTTCTATTAACTACAAATCTGTATAATTGTATTGCTTTTGTTTCTTATTATACTTTTTAAAATTTCATGGCAGCTTAAGTTCCAGTGATGGTGCATATTTTTAATCCTTTGTTCTACGGATTGGTGAAATACTTCTAAGTTAGTTTATATGTTAAAAATATGGTAGAGCACACGATGACTCTCCATGTTGGATAAAACTTACTGATTCATCGATCGTTAAACGAAAATCATATAACATACCTTTGATGTAATTAATAGATGATGTTACATGATGAACTGTGCTGTTCACTATATAAGATTAGTTCTCTCCATGCTCATTTCTGTTCAGTTATATACTTTGGTTTTTGAAATAATTAAGTTTGATCTTGTATAGTTTTTTACCCTACTTGTGGAATCACGTGAATAAGTTTAACTCTGTACCTATTTCTTAAAACAAATAATGATTTTGGGATTTTCGCAAAACTTTAAATTTTTACTATAATTTTGGGATTAAAATTAAATTAATTGTTAAATGAAGCCTAAAAAATTAAAATTTTTTATCTGTGGGATATGTCTGCGCTGCTGATATCCACTTCAAATTTCGAAATGTTCGAATGATATTTCTAAGGACGGTTTGGTAGATTATAGAAAAGCACACTAGGGCTATCTGCCTAAGGAAATGGATGCCTTCGTGGAGAAGTTTCTAAGGGAAACTGGCTCGTATACACGTTCCAAGCCACATACATGCGGGAAACTACGAAAACGCACATACAGTCAGCCCGTTCGCCTGGAATCGACCCCAGGTCAGAATGGGTTAGTCAGTGAACCCTGGTAGTTCTGAAACTACCAGGGCTCAGCAATTTTACCGCTTGTCCGCTGGTGGTCTTCTAAGGACGGAGAATGTATGGTTTTTGTTCAGCTGATGTAAATTACGTAACTTACGGTGTACACCCAATCTTTTATACTATCATATTCTTAATACTGAACAAGAGCAAGTAACAGTACAAAAGAATTTCTTTCAAAACTGAATGTTCTAAGAACAACGAGAAAAAATATTCTTTGGGCAAAATATAAAAGTGAAATAAAGAAATACCGATTTTTCCTTCAGAACTTCAATATATAACATTGCGAAGATTTTTGTGGAAATTGCGGATGTAAGCTTTCATGAATTTATCTATTACTTTAAATGAAAATTAGCCTCGTTTCTTCAAATCGAAAACGTGGCGATGTTTCCCAAACCAAATAACAACAGTCCTTATTTAAGACAATTCAAATGAAAGAGCTGCGAACAAATCACTTTGTCATCAAAATAAAGTGTATATAAAGGAAGGTTTCTAAAAATAAATAAATACTTTTATAATAAATAGATAAATAAATTTCAAATGAATAAGTACCTTTACCACCATAAAGTGCACATCAGAAAAAATTCTAATGCATACGAAGAAACAACAAAATTCTACTGAAAAGATAAGGGGAAAATATGTGTTTTGGAAAATAAAAAGGCAATGTATTGGTTCTGCAAAATAGTTATATCTGAGTAAGCTTCTATAAATAATGTGTGATTACTCTGATGAAAAATATGCTAAAGAATGATTTTACTATATCTTAAGAATACGAAGATTTCAAATATATTTAAAAACATTTTGGTTTAAGTATTCTGAATCTCAGAATTTTTTGCTCCTGATGAAGAGGGACCCGTTTTGTCCTCGAAATCGATTGGGATTTTACAAAAATCTACGCCGAATGCAAGGTTGTAGATTTGCCCGTTTTATATTCTGAACAACTTCAACTTTTATATAATTTTCGCTGAATTTGTAATCTATTAATTTGAAATTTCAAATGCAATATATATTTTTATTTCATGGCTTTAAATTTAAACATCTTAATGCTAATAATAAAAGTCTAACATCAGCATTGTGTGCCGGTGAAGTCTTCTGTATGTCAGAGATTTCAGCTAACCCGTAGAAATATATTCATTTCAAGATCCCGTAAAAAGAAATGGTTAAATAGCTACTTGTTCCTAATGTTCGTTTCCATTTATAGAGAGATGAAAATATTTTGTACGTTTGTTTTTTAATATTTTAATTTTTTATTTTTCGTTTTATTATTTTACCATGCAAGTTTTATTTTATTTTCTTGTTTTGTCTGTATAGTAATATAATTTTCACGGTAATGGTGATTACTCTCTCATTAAACGATGAAAGTTATTTCTTTCGTTTCAGGATAAATATTATCAGTTCAGAAAATCCCCAGCCTTTGGCTGTAACTGCCTTAGAATAGTAAAATTAAAATTTAAACATTATTTAAATTCTCAATTTTATTATAAACTTTAAAAAAATTGATGGGAACATTATATGACTTCCTTTTATGGCCTATTAAATTATACGCATTTTTTGCTACACTCGATTTAAACTTATTTCCACAAATTATTCTAACTTCATTAACAGATCTCTCAAAGCAAGTTGAAAATGATGTCAAAAACTACTACTTTTGAAATTAAATATCCCGGTCAATTTTTGCCGCACCGCAGTCAAACTTCTTTCAATTTTATTGTTTCATAACGAGTATGAAACTTTTCCAAATATAAGTATAGACATCGAGAGACATCATTAAAAGTTAGATTTCGTTATTTGTCGAAAATTAATTATTTTTTATATAAACACGTTTGGTTCTCCCGATTGCAATAAAAAAGAGAGCTGCATAACTAGATGTTATAACAGTCCCATATACAAAATTTCAACGTTCTACGGCGAATCGTTGAGTTATGCGTTATGAGAGAATCGTTGAGTACATACATATGTACGTAAGTACAGACGTCACGAACAAAGTCCCTTTCGAATCTATTTAACTGTCTCTTCTGGAAAAGAGGCTTTTACTCTGTACATACGTACAAATGTCACGCAAAAAAATTCGTCCAAATGGATTCAGGAACAGTCAAAATAGATATTTCTATTGAAATATGAATACCCGAAATTTTTCACAAAAAAAAAAAAAAAAAAACATTAAAAAAAAAAAAAAAAAAAAAAAAAAAAAAAAAAAAAAAAAAAAAAAACAAAAAAAAAAAAAAAAAAAAACAAAACAAAAAAAAAAAAAAAAAAAAAAAAAATAAAAAAAAAAACAAAAAACTATTCCAATACTGTAGAATACTTCGTACAAGGAAGTAGAAAGTTGAGTTCTTTTTTTTTTTTTTTTTAGTATTTTTTTGCTTGAACTTCTTGCTGTATTCTTTTCCTAAATAATTAAATTTATTCTTGTTTTTTGCAGGCCATGTAGGAATAAGTGTAATAATACTTTTTTTAATGCCAAATTTGAAATTTTTTTAAATAGTTATTATTGAGAAAATATTTTTTCATTATTTTTTTTCCTTTGTTTTTGTTTTTTCAGCCCTCAGCGCCGAGCGGTAAAAGTTGCTGAACACTGGCAGTTCGGGCGAGGTTCGAATCCTCTAGCTGCTGCATGCACGTTCTCGTGGTTTTCCGCACGTGTAATGTGTATACGAGCCAGTTTCCCTTAGAAAGTCCCCGAAGCTCCTCTTAAAGCCTAGGGCTTGCCATAATTAAATACACCAATTAAAATGTTTTTACTTTCACAGGAAAGGACTTTTATTAATTTCGTTCAATAAAATCAAAACATGATTATAAACATTATTTTTCGTATTTGTCAATACTACTGTAAAGAATAAATCACTTAATCTAATAGGGTGTGTTGTTGGAATTTTCCAGTGAAATAAAGGTTGTATAATTTTGTAACCTTTGTAGTTTTTTAAATTTTATTGACATAATTATTTTCTAATACATTTTAAATTGGGAAATGTTATTTCGTATTATTCCTTTGAATTTTGCAATCGTTGAAATGAAAAATAAATTTTCTTATTGGTAAAAGAATCATTAAGCTACAGAAGTCTGGCCGAATGTTTGTGTAATTATTGATGTCATCACTACTATATCGAGTTATTTCTGTTATGCTTCTCAATTTTACACAACTCCTTTATTTTTCACAGGTTTATTTCGAAACGCAGTATATTTTAAACTTTGGATTTTCCCGCACTTTGATCGCCCTGACTCGGCAGAAACAGAGAGGTAAGGTTTTTTTTTTATTTTCTGGTTTTTCAATCGCATTTTCAGGAAAAAAAAAAAAAAAAAAGCACCATAATTTTTTATGGTTTGCTGTAATACTGAAAAACCTTCCCACAGTGGCATTTTGGGTTACAGCCGAAAACATTGCGGCAAAAACATCGTGGACGAAAACGTTGCGGAGAAACGCAAGACGAAAACGTCGGTAAACAAAACATCGTGGGAGAAAAGAAAGCAAAGAGAAGCCATCGCAGTCCCAAAAACATTGTGGTACAAAATATCGTGGTCGAAAATGAAGCGGTTCAAAAATTTCGCAGTTTTAACATCGTCGTCGAAAATATCGCGGTAAAAAATAAAGTACTTACAAATCATCGCATGACGATAACATCGCATACATGCGATTTTCAAATCCCATACTGACATATTATGTAACTGACTTTCGTCATAACTAACGAATCGACATCCGAAAAATTGATTGCACGCTATACATGAAAATGTTAACGACACTTTAAGAATAAACGGAAACAAGACAAAATATAATTTTCATTAAAACACTATAAGATTAACAAATGTGAAAAAAAATTCATAACTAACTAAGCATTTTTTATAGAGGTAACCTCGTGCAGTTATTTGTCTTCGTTGTTCTAAGCACTTTTAGACTCTAATTTTCATAAAAAATTATCAGTAAGCCTTTTTTGTAAAGGTTAATTTATTACTGACCTTTGTTAATTAATTATGTAAATTTAAAATTCTATTAAGTTCTTAAGTTACATTAATGTTCTACTCGTTTTCAATTTTTAAATGTTTCCTTCTTATTTTTTCAGTAAAAATTTATTAGTTCATTCAAAAATATGAAATATAGAAGTAAAAGAAATCCCTCTTTCCTTCTTGTGCTCCCAAATCATTATGTGAACATGGATTTACAATTTTTAAAAACCTGAAAACACACGTGTGCGATGTTATCGTAATGTGATGTTTGGTATGTACTTTGATTTTTACCACGATATTTTCGATGACGATGTTTTTAAACTGCGAAGTTTTTGAACCGCTTTATTTTAGACCACGATGTTTCAGAACTGCGATGTTTTCTCTTTGCTTTCTTTTCTCCAACGATGTTTTGCACCAAGACGTTTTCGCCTTGTGTTGTTTTCTCTGCGACATTTTCGTCGACGATGTTTTCGATGGACACCGGCGTTTTGCGAACATGAATGTATGTATTAAAAAACCAAAGCAATACGGAAGTAATAGTGTCATTACGGACCATTACAAAGAAGTTCCTAAAACTGAGAATATATTATTTCTCTTCTGCGAGTCTTAGATTACTTTGTAGTGAGCCCACCAGCCGCCGAACACTAAAGTCCCTGAACACTCGTATTTCGGTCCCAATTTTCGAATCCCGCGAACGGGCTGGCTGCATGGGTATTTTCGTGGTTTTCCCCATGTGTAACGTGTATACGAGCCAGTTTTCCTTAGAAAGTCCTCCGCGAAGGCATCCCTCCCCTTAGGCAGATAGCCCTAGTGTGCTTTGCCATAATTAAATACACACACATACTTTGTAGTGATCAACCCTTATTAAATTACGCTTGACTCACAACTGCTTCAATTAACAGGTTAGACCACTGCAAATATAATTCTACTGCTTCTATGCTTAAAATTTTATTGCGTGGGTACGTGCAAAATCCATTAACAAACAAGCGCGAAGTCAGAAGTTCATCGTCTTAAGAGCTTCGGTCAGCTCTTAGTACACCTTGCTATTATCTATTCTACATCAGTCACGTTTAACACCTACAATTCTGCTTAAATATTCGTTAAATTTAAATGTTTCAGAACAGGACTGTTTTAAAGAACAGTGAAGCTTAAAATAAAATTATTGGTTTAAGTACAACCTTATCATATTTATATTACAATAGCTTGTAGAATAGTATATAAACTTCTTTATGGAAACTGGAGTAGCAGGAAACTACACAAGAGAAGGGTTAACGTACCCTTTATTAAATTTTTGAAAATTTACAATGCGTCAACTCGACGCTAACAAACTTCGCCTCTGCTTGGGCGGTAACTGAAAATCAAGTAACGAAACTAAAAATTTGAAGATATTAACAAATGATAGAACTAGACTACAGGGCTTAGCAAGATTCCGTAACTTAAACCCCCTTCGAAGCTAGTGGCATTAAATACACTCATGTCCATAAATTAAGGATAATTCGGAGTCACGCGGAAATTGAACTCTAAAATAAATATATCACCTGTAAAATCACTATACACATCTTCAAGAATCATATGCAAATTTCAGGAAGTAACCAGATGACACCGATGGTTCGTCACAATGACGAGAGTGTAAGAAAGTGATATATAAGGAATACAGGCAAAGAAGTAAAATTGTTCGCAGGCGCTTTATAAGCATTTCAGTGCAATAACCGAATAGTTTATGACACATAGGACGCATTTGGATGATTTTTTACGTGGTAGAATTATCGGCCGTCTGGAATGTGGGCGTACCCAACTGGAAGTATCAGACGAACTTGGAATTGCCCAGAGTGTCATCTCCAGGCTTTGGCAACGATTCCAAGATGATGGTAATGTGAGTAGACGTTACAGCACAGGTCGCCCCAGAGTTACAACGCCGAATGAGGACCGGTATTTGGCAGTTACTGCCAAAAGAAACAGGAGGAGCACAGCCTCAGACCTGTCTCGTCAGCTCTCTTCAGCCACTGGTACGACAATTTCAAGGCAGACCGTGTACAGACGCTTAGGGCAGATTGGTCTATATGCTCGTAGACCTGTCAGATGCGTTCCACTTACTGCAACTCACTGTCGCCTGCGGTTAGCCTGGAGTAGAGAGCATGCATTGTGGACACCGTAACAGTGGGCTTGTGTGATGTTTTCCGACGAATCCAGGTTTATCTTGCAGTCTGATTCTCGCCGGACATTCATATGGAGAATTCCAGGTACCCGTTACCACCAAGAAAACATCATTGAACGACACCGTCACGGTGGTGCAGGAGTGCTCGTTTGGGGTGGAATTATACTGGTTTCCAGAACTGACCTGCATGTTCAAACTGGCACCATGACAAGCCAAATCTATCGGGACATCATTCTGGAACAACATGTACGTTTGTTTCGAGGCGCCATGGGCGCACAATTTGTGTTTATGGATGACAACGCCCGTTCTCACCGTGCAAACATCGTAAGCGAATGCCTTCAATCGGAGGATATCACCTGTATGGACTGGCCAGCATTCTCACCGGACTTGAATCCAGTAGAGCACGTGGGGGACATGCTTGGCCGACGAGTTGCAGCCCGTCAATCTCTTCCTACATGTCTACCGGAACTTCGGAAAGCATTGCGTTTTGAGTGGTGTAATATCCCCCAAGATCAGATCGATAATTTGATACTCAGCAATCCTAGGCGTTGTACGGACTGTATTGCATCGTTGTACGGACTGTATTGCATCATCGGACTGTATTGCATCGGAGACATACAATGTATTAACAATCATACCAACCATGTAATATTGGTTTTTTGTAAATAGGTTTTTTTTTTTTTTTTTTTTGTAATTTGCTCCAGGCAGAAAAAATCGCTAATTTTTTAATAATATCAAACATATGGCATCTTTTTTTTTTTTTTACCTTTTGTTTAATAAATAAGCTTTACAAATAAGTCAAATTTGTTTTGCTTCTAACTCTTCCTTTGCCTGATTTTGCATTATCCTTAATTTATGGACACGAGTGTAAATGCTATTAAGCCACTTGAGCCAGCAGTAAGCAAACTTACCGACGGCAGCTAGAGCATAACTCTCTCTTTCTTCTACCGAAACTCGGCTTTTAACTACTTCCTTCAAAATAGAAAACTTGCATTCGTTCACGCGCGCTACAACATCTAACTATTCTGGGACTAACAATTAGGGGAATGAAGGCTCATAGGAAAATTTCAAATAAAACTTTAAATTATTTGTTAAAAAAATATAAATCCCTACAAGCTGATAAAGAAGTTGACATTAAAATCAAATTAATTATAATCATTGAAACTGTTTTTAGGTATTCCTTCTCATCTTGGGAAATGAAAGAATGAAAGAATTCTTGCAAGAATGCATCAGTCTCAGAGTATGTTATGAAACTAGTTTTTCGGACTTCGTCTTAACATGTTAAGTGAAATTAGTCTTAATTTTATCCAGTACAGATGATGTTCTTCTTAACCTAATTTCGCTTTTTCACATGTTAGGTTTATATGTGCTTTTAAAAAGCGTATGTAAAACGTTTGTTAATTCGGTAAATTAGCGCTGTTTATTGATATGTGTGTCTCTATATAGCATTATAATGAAACATAAAAACTGAAGATATGAAGAAAATTATCGAGTTAAAGTTGGACATCCAGAACAGAATGATTAGTTTCTCTCTCTCTCATATTTTATCTTTACAAGCAGATGAAAGAATAGACATGACTGACAATTACAGTTTGACGTTCATTGTAAGGATTTGATTTCAATGGCTTTATTCAAGAAGACTGTATTTCGTAAATCACTTCCAAGAACAACGGTTGAAGAAGTTTTTAAGCTTAAGACGGATTTTGTGGTTCAGCGATGCAGTGACTGGAAAAACTACGCAGTAATGAAACTCGGACAATGTCAGAATGCCAGACTGGGTCTGCTCGGGGTGCATCCGAGCATTGCTCTGCCTGTGAAACGTGTGTTCTCAGTTTTGTGCTCAGCTCTCTTCAAGAATGTGTGAAGTTTATAAGTTATAACACGCCTCGTCAATTGAACAAAAGGATTATTGCTGCATTAAAATATGAACGTGAGCTCTTTTTGTTTGTTTGTTTGTTTTTCCCTTTATCAGTTTTTATCAAAAGTAAACATTTTTAAACAAGTTTTTGAAATAAAAGGTGAAGTTTAATTTCTTTCAGAACACTATTCTTCATCATTAAGTGATGCTGTATAAAAATTTAAATACTGGTTTCCTAAATTTTGTTAGTTAGCAGTGATATTCAAATTATGAAATGTATTGTGAGTTTTATATCGTGAACGTTCATATTTGTGGAGTTTTATTTTGTAGTTTTTAATCTTGGTTGAATTAACAACAAAATTTAGTGTTCTTCATTTTATTCTGGGAATCTACAAAATATTGTATTATACATCAAAGTATACCACAACGGCATTATAAGGTATTTCTCCCGCCTTCTTAGCATGCCTTCGTGGTGTAATGGTCAGCACACTCGGCGCGTATTCGAAAAGTCCGAGGTTCGAGTCCCGATGAAAGCATTGCTCATTTTTCATGTCTCCTCCTTTGAAATAACCTAATGTCTCTAAAATGGCACCCGAACTATAAAAGGTGGTGGATGATGATTCTCCACCACCAGGATTTGGCTATTGAGTCCCCTAATCACCAGTCGCCCTTTAAAAAGTGGAGGTTATAAGGTATTTCTCCCGCTTTCTTTGCATACACACTCGGTGCGTATTCGAGAAGTCCGTGGTTCGGGTTCCGGCGAGGGCATTGCTCATTTTTCATCTCTCCTGCTTTCAAAAATACCTAACGTCTCTACAACATATTTGAAAAAAAAAAAAAACGTCTTTCTAAATCTGGAAAGTCTGGACATGCTAATATGTGCCATTCTTCAGAAGAGCTGCAACGAAAAATGTTCTCAAAATACTTCCAATCCTAGGTTTCAGTATGTTTTATATATAAACAAATTAATATAAGAAGGCATCAACTTTGTTGTATTTGAAAATTTGTCTTTTCAGGGATAGTTCATATAAACCTTCCCCAAAGCTCTTTTAGTAAATATAATAAAGATTAAAACGATTTTTGTAAAAAAATTATGGAAGTATAAGGTAATGATACGGAACTCAGCTATCCCATTAGATGTTATCGCAAAATCTTAAATAAAAAGTTCTATTTGTTGTTAATTAAAATCAACATTTTCACAGTGGTTTCTGTTTTTAAGTAGGTATTCAGGGCTTTACTTGCATTCTACATTTTTTATCAAATTTAATATCACGTTTCAGAAAATTTAAAATTTTATTCAGACGCGTTAGTTCCAATGATGTTCACGAAAACACTTTTCACTTTTTTCTCTGTTAATATAAATGTATATTATTCCTTCGATATCATGAAATTTTAGGTACTATGAAAAAATGAATATAAATACAAGTGATTCTTCAAATTTTGATGGGTACTTTAAAATGCATCTCATGCACTTCATTCATTCTTTCATCAAAATGATTTGCATATAAAAAATCTCGAAAGAGTCCCTTATGAATTTATTACGCCTAATACGCATAGAAGCCTAGTAAGACTACGTGTTGCACAAAAAGATGTTTTTTTAAATAATAAATCATTTTTTCAATATTTCGTGAATTAAGGATTATCCTTAAATGTTTATCACGCATGAATGGACAAGGGAAATTGTAAGCAATCTTATTATATCGATTTAACTGTGCTGTGTTGTTTGAAATTTTGTACTTTTTCCAAGTCTGAGATTCTTTTTCCCACTGTAAGCTTTCTAATAACCATCTTCTTCGCTGTTGTAGTCCTGAAATTAAGGGTTGTATCTAACACTCAGTGACATTGCAGAATTGAAAGTGTATGGCAATTTATAAGACTGCAGGGATTTGTTTATGTTTGGAATGATATCCGTCGATTTAAAATATAGTGAATAATTATTTTTTTAATTCTAGAAAGTATTTTTACACGGGTTAATGCTTGACATTAAAATTTAACTTTTCAATGGAAATTTTGAGTTAAAATGTTTATTTGAGATGTATTAATATATTTCTGATTCTTGTGTTAATGTATTTCATGCGTGTCACATGTGTCAAGTAAAACATTTCCCGTCGTTATTTTTTTAAAATTTGTTTTGAATTCAAAAATTGTTATAAAAGTCCTTCATCTTTTTATTGACAAAGCGGATCTAGTTAAGCAACAGAGCATTAAACTTAAGTTTCCACATACACTCTTTCTTCTTTCTTGATTATTCTTCCCCATTCGATGGTGGCGTGATCTATCGACCAGTGTTGAAAATAAATGTTTTACTAAAGCATTCTTCTTTTCTGTTCTGTAACCGCAGTCTCGCTCTTTTTGTACCTGTTTGAACAATTCAAATGTACAATTATTAGGAAAGACATCTCTAAAGAAATCTGTCTTTGTAATATAAATGAACAAGACTGTAGTATGACTGTAGACTGGAAGTATGATACCTTATAAATCAGTAATCGTTTTTGTTTTGATAGGCTGTCCGAAGTTTTGGCTCTCAGTATTAGCTAAATTATTTAAATAACTCAAATTAATTTAATAATAAAAGGTTACCTAATTTTTAAACAAGTTTCAAAATATTTAAATGCTAAATATATTTTTAAATAATCGTGATTAAAATTAATACGGGTATATTAAATACTGCACACTGACAGCGTTAGCAATTTTGCTTTTTTTCAACTTTAAAGCGACGAATATGCAAAAGTTTCATGTGCTACTACATCAAATATAAAAATATGCTTTATATATTATATTTATATGAATGATTCAAGAAAAGGTAAGAATTATATATAACACCATAATTTTATTTTGAATGTTATTTAATTATTTTGACGTTGAGCTTCAAAGTAAAACTTTTTTTTTAGTATTATTTGACTTTCGAAATGTCAAAACACCATTATATTATGTAAACCAATAGCAAACAAACGTAACATAGTATTAGCAATAATTTTTCAATTAGAGAATTTGTCAAACTGTTCTCGCTTCATTTTGAATGGCTATTGTAACTACTTTAATGAAAAATATGCATTTTTTTAATTACATTGTGAATTTTAATGCATAAATACCAAAAATTTAAGATTGTTTACTATGTACACTACTATTCACCTAATTATTTAACTGTAATAATTACTATTTTTTTACCTAATCGTAAGTATTTTTTTTTTTTTTTTCAAGGATTCAGTCATGTTGCTGAACTGATTTATATCATTTTGAACAAGGATGGGTATATGGCTACTGCTATCAGGTAATACGAGTTTTTCTGAAGCATCTATACAAGATAAGTAATTTTTTTCCGTACGATTGTTTTATGTGAAACTATTATAGAAATCACTATATCCTTTTAAATAAATGGGTTAGGTTAGGTTATTTAATTACGGCAAAGCCTCGAGGGCTATCTTCCTAAGAGGAGGGATGCCTTCGTGGAGGACTTTCTAATGGAAACTGGCTCGTATACACGTTACACATGGAGAAAACCACGAAAACACCCATGCAGCCAGCCCGTTCGCGGGATTCGAACCTCGGACCGAACTACCAGTGTTCAGCGATTTTACCGTTCAGCCGCTGGTGGGCCCAGATCTTCGTAATGAAGTGACCGCATATTCTCTTGACTTCATCGTTAATTTGAATGCCTCTCAGTTAACGAGTAATTATGCTTTAGCGAACTTTATCACAAGTCTCAATTGATTCCTTAAATCCGGTTTAAACTAAAGATACGCTGAGTTTTCCCATTTATTTAAAGCCCACCAGCGGCCGAGCGGTAAAGTCGCTGAACACTGGTAGTTCGGTCCGAGGTTCGAATCCCGCGAACGGGCTGGCTGCATGGGCGTTTTCGTGGTTTTCTCCCATGAGTAACGTGTATACGAGCCAGTTTCCCTTAAAAAGTCCTCCACGAAGGCATCCCTCCCTTAAGGCAGATAGTCCTCGAGTGCTTTGCCGTAATCTAATAAACCAAACCAAACCATTACGAAGATCTTGGTAAAGTAAAATAATAATAAGGAGAATGATAATAAATAAATAAATAAATAAAGGTGCTCTGTGTATATATATATACTTGTATATATTAACTTTCTACATAAAAATTATGATGATCTTCAACTTCATAAGATTTTTAAACAATAAAAATTTCCTGCAATAAATTCTAAAATTTCGGTTTGCTTTAAGTACAACAAAAAACTATGTAGTTTTATTTCTAACCATAATGAAGAAGATTTTGCAGCACCATGATTTTGTAATGAAGAAACATTTCTGCCATGTGTTCACGAAGAGAACAAGCATATTATAACAGGAAATCTGGACATTTTTCAAGATCAAGAGGTTACACTGCTTATGAAAAAGGGAACGAAGTTTAGACCTATTAAATTCATTAAATAAATTACATTGCATAGAAAGTATTTCTGCAGATATTGGTAATTATATCTTGAAAGTTAGTCCTCAACTTAGTTTACCTTCACATCTCTTTAAAGAATGGAAAAATGAGATCATTACTCAAAGTAAAAAGAAAATTGAGAAAATTCAAGGATGTAAAAGAATTAAAAACTGGAAAAATTTACTTCTGAAGTTTTCGCAATTAAAAAAGCAATTTATCATAACCAAAATTGATAAAGCATATAATAATTTCAGTATTTTATGAAACAAATTCTACAATGATATAATAGAAAATGAACTGAAAAATTCTTCTACCTATAGTATCTGCAAAAATAAAGAAAGAACTGTTATTAACAAAATTTCTGCTCTTCACAAAAAATGGAGAATTTCTCTCCTTACTACAAATAACAGATTTGCCACTCTTTATGCCTTACCAGTGCAGGATTTATGTATAAGCTATACAAGCTATAGCTTAGAGCCCCTCCCCCCCAAAAAAAATTAAATCATAGTGTAACAGACTTATAAAGGGCCCCATATCTCAAATAGCTTAGGAAATAGCACCAGTGAAATTTAGATTTATAGCCAAAAGTACCAGAAACTTCAAGAAAAATTTTGATAATATTTTTACCAATCTACTTAAAACTGCTTGTGATATAGTTTTTTGAACAAGTTAAAGAAGACAAAAACTTCTGCTGGATTATTTACGACAACTTGAAAATTGTTGAAGAAGTTAGAAATCTTAAAACTTACAATATTAACTACTATGACTTTGAAAGCCTTTACATGTCTCTGCTACTCAAAAAAATCTATGCAAGTCTTTTAGAAATGACAGAATTTTTCTAAAATACTTAATATTATGGATTTACAAAAATGGAAAAAATTTCTATATTTTTCGCTATACAATAACTATATTAAACATTCACACTTTCTTTACCTGCAAACACAAGGAATTCCAATGGGAAGTTCATGTTTCACTCATATTTGTAACTTAGTTCTATTTTCTAAAGAATTCAAATTCCTAAAGAGCCTTTCTGATAACGATTTCAGTAAATCTGAACACACTTATAGATATATTGATAACATTATTACCTTCAACAATTTTAATCTCATCCAAAACAGCAACATCTACCCAAATTGTCTAAAACTAAATAAGACCAATAGAAAACAAACAAATAGTTTATCTTGATCTAAGTATTTATAATCTAACAGAAATTAAACTTTTTGATAAAAGAAAAGATAAAAGATTTTAATTTTTCTACTGATAAGCTTATAAATTGGAACTCCAACTTATCTAAAAAGGTTATTGCAGATACTGTTATTAACCAAATTATCAGAATTAATAAAGTTTACACTGAAATAGAAACACAAAAAGAAGAAATTCTAATTTTCAACAAAATTTTAAAAGATAATGAAATTCCTTTAAAAGGATGTTTTAAAGAGTTTATAGGTTTATTTTTTGATTTATTTTTAATTTTTGATTTTTTCCTCTTAATTACTATTCTGTTACTAAACAAGGGCTTTTCAAAGTCGTCATGATAAGCCCATGACGTAAAGACTTTTTACTTTGCTAACAATAGTTCCTTTGCTTCCTTTTTCAACCTTTTTCTGTAATTTTAAATAATATTAAAGTAATCTAAAATTCAACTTTATGGATTTTTCTACTCATATCTACAAAACCATTATTAAAACTTCTTTGACCACTTTTTGGACACCTTTTTGAGTCTACTTTTTAAAGAATAATTTATTTTTAATTTAATAAAATTTTTACACTGAATGATATTCTTTCTTCCCAATTTTGTTTTAAAGAGCGAGAATTTACTTAATTTCATTCAATTAATAAAGTTATCTTTTTCTTTGTCAAAATTAAAAAAAATCACTGAAATATTTAAAACTTTTTCAAAATTCCATCTTTTATTCCAAATTTTAGCCTTTTGAGCGATTATTTTCTCGCCAAGGTTTTTTAGTTTCACCAAATGAAGCCAAAATGGCAAACTCGTAACTCATTACTGTAACGATTTTCCTAGTTTTAATTGTAGTCTATTGAAAGTGCTCGAAGTATTTAATTACTTCTTGTGAGTTTTAATTAAGTCTTTTCACCTATGTTTTATAACGTTATAAGTTTAAAGGTAAAATGCTATAAGTTTAAAGGTAAAAATTTTGATTTAAATTTTTCACTGAAATATTTTATTATTTCACTTTCATTTTCGATTCTTTAAGTAAAATAGAATTCTCTTTATTCAAGGTACAAGATTCTAATTTGAATTTACTTTGTCTTTTCCTTGCTTTGGGGAAGGACCAGAATTTTCGGGTGAACTATTATAGTTAAAATACATTAAAATGGTTCATCAGTTAATTCTGGATACAGAAAAGGAAGGATTTTTGTAGAAGAGAGATTTCAATTGATTTCTATGCTCCTCCCCCTGACGAAGTGGCATTGAAGTTTATTGAATTCCTCTTCTGTTTTGTTCATTTTTCTTTAAATTTCATTAATTTTTTGAATTGGGGTATTGCTTGTTTGAAAATTTTTGATTTTAACATTTTTAAAATTCTTTGTTGCATTTATAGAATTACTTGAAATTTATTAATTATGAATTTCAGTTTTTGGTCTCTGTGAAAAATTAGTTATAAATTTCTTACTTTTATGTTTTTACTGGTAATTTTTGCAGCAGCTTAATGCGCGGAAATACTAGGCATGTTTATATTTTGTTTTTAATTGATTTGAAATTATATATCATGGATATCATATATATTGTTATCATGGAATTCCGACAAATTTGGTTTACACAATAGGTTCCAGACATTTTTTACTCTTTGCGGGGGGGGGAGGAATTACTCATCTCTTGTAGCCTACCTTTTTCAAAAAATGATTCCATGGTGGCCCTCTTAGATGAACATTATAATATTGTTACGAAATGTACAAGCGCGGTAAGATGGCTTCCCCGCAAAGCAGTTTTAGGGTTGCCATTAAATGGCAAGGAAGACAGGGTTGCCACATTTGGCGAGAAATCGCCAATTTGGCGACAAAATTGGCGATGTGCCATGGACGGATGGAGAACCTTTTGGAACGAATTCTTACCGGTTTAGCCCACAATGTTCTCGAACACAAGCCGAAAGCTAATATAAACCTGCTGGTCCGGAGTGCGAGATAGTTAGTCTCGAGTTAGTCAGTCCGTGCGGAGTCGATCGAGTTGACAGAGGACAGCGAGTGCCGAGTGGGTCGTCGAGTGCATCGAGGAGTCTCTTAGTGTATCGCGGTTAGTGCATCGTCGATAGAGTGTGCTAAGCTCCGGGAACGACTGAACCGAAAAGTCGGGAGCTGTGCTCTGTGTGTCGTCGTGTCAATCGCGAGTTGTAGCGTGGAGAGTCTCGAGAGTACGTGGAGTTCCGAGAACGACCAAGCAGAGTCGGGACTGTACACTGGTGCTTTGCAGTGAAACTGTCTCCACCGTTATAGCCTGATAATCTGAAGGCTGTGTCGCTGATTGTTCCAGCGAGTTTATAGTAAATCTTCGACGACTGTAAAACGTGACCTTTGGAGCTGTCCTGAGTAATACCCGCCAATAAAGTGCGTTTCGATACTTCATCAAGTGTCGTCGTTATTCGCTCCAAATATACCAACTCCGTACGAACGTGGTGTCGGAAAATAACGCATCAATATATTGAAAAATAAGAAACATTTTTTAAATTACTTCATTAGAAATGTTAACTTATTAATGTATCGCAAAAAATGAAGTAATAAATATAAATTATTAAAAAAAATAATGTAATATTATTAGTGAGAGGGCTGAGTTTGGTATACTAACACAAACGTTTCGATATTTGGTGCCAATATTTGTCGTTAGCAATCTTACATCGCAGCATTCCACTATTGATACTATAGGTATGTGCAAACTTGTAAATATAAACTTTGTTAATCCAGACGGAGCATACACACATACTCTGGTGCTCTGTGTGGTGCACTACGTTCAATATCAACTCGTTCATGTACAAGTAAGAATAGTATTAGGATTAAAGCAACGACTACAGCAGCCACCCGAACGGCTGAGATCGCCATAGTCTGTTTTCTTCCCTGTACCTAAAATATATAATAGAACGCAGCTAAAAACGCTATCATTTGAAACTTTCAAACCTCTTTGTCCTTCAATAGGGAGGAAAGAAATTGTTGTGGATGTCAAACGGAATTTCAAACGTTTCGTTATTTTAAGCATACAAGTTAGCGAAGGGTCTGGCTTTCTAAGAATTAAGATATATTTAAACTGTTGAAACATGTTTTCGATGATTTTTGATATTAACCAAATCTTTCAGTACGTTTTCGTAAGTATTGCCCGGGGAGGAGGTTTTTGGTTCTCAACGCACCCTAAATTGGCCTTAGACCACAAACGCTTCTTATATCTCTCCAACTATCACGGACGGGCGGTACCGATCCCATTGGGAATTACTGGTGTGTACTGTAAGTTACAGTTTAGAAAAGAAATCTAATATTAAAATTTGTGTTTATTAAATAAATTTGACGTTCCACATAATTTTATCAATTTGTCTGGAAAGGATTTAATACTTCAGCTTCTATTTTACTTCTTTAGGATTTTTTAGTGTCTAGAACGGGGGGGAATTCCGCGAACGTGATTTGTTGCCTTTCTCCTTATATTCTCTTCGTATCCATTTTCTGCTTCATTATTACTGCACTGTACACCGAAAATATGCAAATCAGATAGGAATATAATGTGAGTATTGGAATGTCTCATATTGTCGAGTCGGAAGTCAAGAACTTGGTGACAGAGAAGGGTAGGCACAAATCTCTCGCATTCCATCCTTGGAAGTTCTCATATTCAAACCTGGAACGGAAATCTAGCAGAGAGTTCTCATAATCTTTGTCAAAATTAAATAATCTTATCCTAGGAGCGTGGGTAGATTACGTAGAGTTGCGTCTAAGTTAAATAGTCCTAGACTCCCTTCGATGGTACACTGTAATAAAAAATCAACTTTTTTAAGTCCAGTAGTTACAGCATTTTATATCGCTTGATTGCGTGTTGTGTTCCTATGTACAATCTCGTGAATTTTCTAATACTAGTAAGCCCCCTATTCTCTAATGCCTAATGAATCGAATAAGCGAACGTGTGATACTCGCTACGGATTGAATTGCATGAGAATCACAATGGGAGACATAAAAAGTAGAGAATAAATAAGCTTTAGAGTTGTATATATATTTTTGAGACTCTGCGGTAAGATTAAACGAAATTAAATAATAAATTAATAGTATTAAATTAAAATTAATCGAAGCTGGAGGAATAAGTTTATTGTTTTATTTTACAACATAACTCAAACTTTGCCGAATAATGAGCAATAAAGTTAACAGAATGAATCTACTCGTGGCATTTTTGAGTAATGTCGGGAGTTGAATAACCCGAACTCAATGTTTTGGGTAAAAACATTGTTAAGTATTGATCATCATCACACATTTCTTCTTTTCAGATTCTCGTATTTATTTGGAATCTCTTTATTGTTACTGCCCTTTTTCTTCCCTTAATCCATAATATTATTATCAATTTATCTAGCTGTAGCACATATGGCTAATATAAAACTGAACGAAGCAGAAGTATTCCGATGTAAATATAAATTTTGTGTGGTAGGTCTACCGTATCGGTGTAGTAAGTAGAGAAATTTATATTGCCGAGATCTTGAAACTGTTAATTATTTATTTCATTTTATGATTTTTATAACGATTATTATCCGTTTACTTTTGGGTAGGAATTTATCAATAGTGCGTAGGGATTAAAAATAAGTTATGTAATTGGCACCCAGTCAGACTCGACAGTTTTCTTTCCTCGACTCTATCTCATTGCAGTTAGGATAGTTCTAGAAGATACCCAGCTTGATGTTTGCATATTGCATTTTAATATTCCTGTACGATTAGGATGAATATAAAATAAGTATAACAACAATTCTAGAATGGCTGCTAGGTTTTTCTTTCCTAGAATCTCGTTTTCCCGTGATATGCAATAATTTTCGTCTAAAAAGTATTAGACTTTTTCAAGAGATTATTTCATTTCATGTACTTGTAATAATTGCAGAAAAATCGTACAATCATAATTCAATTCTATTTACTGCTGAAAGAATTGCATTTTTTGTTGAATCACACCGGGAATCGGTGCTCTGAAAGAAAACGAAAAATGCTTCTGAAACAATAAATTGGAAACGATTTTGATGTTCTGGTTTCAGTATTTTAATACTTTGGAAAAATCTAAAACTGAATTTTAGAATGAGTTCAGATTTCCCATCGTTAACAAACAAATAATCGCATGAGTTTCTTAGATGACAATGACTACGTTATTAGCTAATGCTGACGAATCTATGATTAGCCTCAATCAGTAAATAAAGCTATAAGTTGAGAAGTTACGAAACACTTGGTGCGAAAGACGCATTGGAAGCAAAAACTCAGTCCAACACTAATCTCATGCTATCTTATGATATCCCCACAGTCTTGATAATATCAGGGTGAAAGAGTATATTCCTAATCGATTCATTTATCTAAAAAAATTGCAACTAAGTGTCTTAGATAAAAAAAGTACTGATGCTTCGTGTTCAAAAAGGAAGTATCAAAAAAACTCGGCGGGAGAAAAATTATTTTATGGCTCAAAATGTTAAAAAGCTTTGTTTTCAAGAAGAAATTTAATTACATTTTCATAAACAAATTTATTTTCATTTGAAAAAAGAAATGTGTGGTTTCTATCTTCCTATATTTACAATAAATTGCTTTAAAACAGTTTTTAATATATGACCATATCCAGTCGATTTTAAGTTCAAACAACTATTCTTTGGAATTTGTAAAATATAACTTGTGAATTGAAGTCGTGTATAGATGAAGATATTCCTTCCCTTAGGAAGATAGCCCTCGCGGGCTTTACCGCATTTAATTAAGCTAATATATTCACATTTTGTGTTGAAGAGTTAAGGCAGGCAGAGAAAAGAGACAGTTCAATGAGACTCTTAATTCTACTAATTCGTTGAATAATTGATTAAGTACTACGCTTCTGAGTCTCAGTGAATTAGTCGGAACGAAACTTGCTTTAGCTACCAAATTAATGGACCAAATATGGAGTTTCAAATTACTTTTCCCTTGACAAGTTCTATTATGGAGCTCCAAACAAGGAGGTTAATGCTTGCAATTTTACTTTCTTAATTTTTAATTTTAAAGTTTTGCATTTAAGATCAGTATAAGTCTTAGTATCTTATATTTTTACTTTGGTATTCTCATGTATTACAAAACTTGGTGAAATTAATGTCTTCTTACTGATGAGTTGGATACATACCTAACTTGATTTAAATTTAGCAACACTTCGCGCTAATTTTTACTTTTAGTACAATCGTACTTCCATCTTGCCTCGTTGACTGCTTCTTATAAATTAAAATGATTTGTATATAAATGTGAATACATAAAAATTGTATATGTAAAATATAGTGTGTATACATCGACAATGAAGCATGGTTTTACTGATTGCCATTATAAAACTGATAATTTTATTAATGCACTTATTAATTTTGTCTCATATATTCATCATATTCTTATTTTTCTATAAAATAAACGAATTACATAAATAATTGATTTTGAAAATTTTGACTAAAATATAGTAATTTTAATATTTTGACTGTGTTTCAGGAATGTTTCTAATGTATTTTGCTAACCTTGCTTCCGGAGACAGCGTAAGTATTTAATTTCTTTTTAAGCATGCATTAATATTCATATTGAAATTGTATTGCAGTATGAAAACAACAAATGTACAACGTAGTTTAAATTTTTAGCTGCAGCGTTCTATATTTCGATTTTTGGATTGACTGGGCCAATTCATTTCGAACTTAGTCATCCCAGTTTGTATAAACCTTGCAAAGTATGCCTGAACATCAAAAAGGTTTCAGTTATTAAATTAAAATTTCTTTGTGTTCTTTTCTCTGCAGCCTTTCAACATCAACACTTTTATGAATTTTTAGATAAAACCTTTTTCTTAGCCTTTCGACATACTAAATAGAAAAATACTCTTAAAATTTGGAAAGTTATTTTTAAGCCTTTCTTTAAATATATGTTTTTCTGTGAAAAATAATTTATCTTTTCTTCACCGTCTCTGCTTTCGAAACCTAGACATCTCTCTTCATTGGTGAAAAATATGCGTGAATAAGTAAAATGGAACTTGTTTTTCCCCGTCTCCTCGAATGAAACTTTAAAATTCCTTTAAAATGCAATTCGGTGATATAAAAATTTGAGCACTATACATACTGATATCTAGATATAGCCAATCTAGCAACATTTATTGTAAAAGTTAATCTTTCTTTCTGAGTATGGCGTAGAAAGCGCACAACAATTCACTATGATACATTAAATTTCAAAGACTGGAAGTTATATTTCTTTCGTAGTTGTTGTTGGAGAGAGATGTTGAAACATAATATAGAAATAATTGAAGTAGCTCTCGTAGGTTCTAGTATCGTGTGGACTAACGCAGGAATATGTAAGATTTAAAAGGGGGAGAATGTAAATCAAAATACTAATTTTAATTTGCAATAATTCCTGAACTCTTCATTTTAATATGGTTATTTCTGTTTTCTAATCTAAAAATAGTAATTGCTTAAAATTAAGCTCTCTAACTTGCGTCAGTTTAAAACTAGTAGTCACCACGTGACTTTTACATAACGCTGGTGGTGTAGATGGTTTTACAAACTGAAACTCAGCCAGCCAGTAATACTAGTTTTAGAGCTTTGTTAATTAGCCAGTTAAATGCTATGGAGAGTTCGTCTTGAATACATCGCATTTGCTTTCTGCTTCTCCTGTTTGGTGAACTTACCAAAACCTGCTCTCTTCAAAAATCTAAAAAAGTTCTTAACAGGCCTTTTCAACTGAAATAAAAAACGAATATTGAAATCCGGGTACCACTGCAACTTATTCTTTCTGCAACTACAGCATATCATCATAACTTCAAATTTCTTCATTTTTAAGGATTAATATTGACGTCGTAATCGACGTTTCGTATTATTACCACTCACACACACACACAACACACACACACACCACACACACACACACACACACACACACACACACACACATATATATATATATATATATATACAGAGAGAGAGAGAGAGAGAGATGGTGATACATGTGCTACCTATATAACACTGCTGACACAAAAACATAATACAGCAGTTAAAGACACAGTGAATTTTTTTATCTATTGGTATTCATATCAAAGCTTTTCATAACCTGTGATAGTAAAACGGCAATTTGCTCCTCTGTCGAGCAATAAAGCAACTTCAACATTTTGAATCTATCTCGCTGGCATAATTCTTCTCTTTTTTACTTCTTTGACTGCTGGAGAACTATGTAGATCTGTAACACCAAACTTTTAAGGTAGGCGGTCGCTTTCCGCTTGCCGTTAGCTATTTTGTAACCCTGCAGCAAACTTTAGGGATTTTATTAAATGTGTTTAGTATCTACAGAAGTTATTATAGGAAATAAAGGTCATGTTTCAAGTGTAAATGTACTCAAACATAAATATAAATTTATACACGCACCCACGCGTAGTTGCATATATATGTATTTCTGTGTGCAGTTCTCTAAACACACCATCTTTGTGCAACACGTTTTCTCTTTACCATCTTTGAAATTTTTCGTTGTTTCAAATTAAAACATTTTTGGTATTACTTATTCTTTGTGATAATTTGCATACTCACGTGCAGGAATTAATATACCTTCGTATAAGTAAACGAATTGAGAATTCAGAAAAACGTTTATGAAATAATCGTTTCGTAACTTATTTTAGAAGTTTCTGCCGATTTGTATCTCAGTCAGATTCTTTAACTTCGTATTAAATGATAGTATTGTCATCTAAAAGAATAAAGCTAAATTAGGATATAGAAATCACGTATGAATAAATATGCCAAAATAAGAAATGGGATACTCGCTGAAGGCTGGAAGTACAGATTGCGTCATAACTTGAAAAATATTTGTAATAGAGCGAAATGCTAGAAAACTGTTTATATTTAGTAACGAAACTCAGTCTGATGCAGTGGTGTGTATGGAGTGACAGTAAACTCTGGGAAAGCTGTGGTAAGAGGAAAAACTCAGTGATTTGATGCACTCTTTGTTGTTTTCGTCAATTTGCTATTATGAGATTCAAAGATATTTTACGTTCATAAAGTAATCAGGCCTTCCTGCGTATTTTTTTGTCAGTGCCTTGGTACTACTAGTATGCCTAGATATTCTCTGGTGTGCAGAAAATGATTCCATTTGTAATGTTTGCACGGAATTGTATTGATTGAGGAAGAGATTAAAATATAATTTGTGATCCATTGTAAAGAAACTATTTATTATTATTATTATTATTAGAAGATGAAGAGGTAGCAGTAGCAGTATTAGTATACGTGTGTTCAAAAAACGTTTATTAAGAAACGCATTTGCTCTTTTCTCAAAAGTGTTTCAAAATGCGCAAATTGGTAATCGTCTTTTTCGCATATATGCTATTTAAAGGAAAGAATAATTTAAGGGTTTCGTATTTACTAATAAATACCCGTATCTATTTAAATACTCGAATAAAATTGCTGAGTTTATGCTATTGAAGATTTTTTTTCCTTGACTATTGTTCGTATGTACTTGAAAATTAGAGGGCTATTATCAGATTTAAAACCTTTTTTATTCATTTCAGAGTAATGGATGATTTGCAATCATCTACAAACTCTGAAGTGGATGAGAGCATATGAGTTGCTTCTTTGTGCCCAAAAATATAGAACATATCTAAAATTTAATGCATACTTGACAATAAACCTCCAGTTTTCCAAGCAAAAATTCAAATGTTAATTCTGGTTCTTCAATCCGAAATTTGTGTTAGGGAATTCACCAGCCATACAAAGAAGTGGGGAACAGTCTTAAAATACTTTCGAAGTGTTCTTGATAGCAGATCAGTTTTAAGAAAACTGCGGTATTCTGAAAATTAAGCAAATACTCCAGAAACTCCCAACTTTCTTACCTGCACTCGCATTTGAAATACAGAAAATCCACACAAAATTTCCATCTATTTAGTATTTATATTACTGGAAATGCCAAATACAGCTTAAGAAACTAAAGGTATTTTACAGAATAGCAGAAATCACAAAAGAGCGTATAATTCATCACCTTATTCAATGAGTGATCATTTCTATGTACGGAAACTAATCACACGAACTTCCAATAAATCTTAGACAATTTTTATTCAATTTTTATTAGGTAAAGGAAGCATTTGAGATAAAACTGAAGTAATAATTTTGCTTTATATTTCAAACCGCTTTGCAATAATGGTTATACTGTACGATATCGTCTTATGAATATGTTAAAGGAAGATCTGTTTGCTTTCTGAATGTAAACTATCACTCTAGAAGATGTACTAAACATGTGTCATGCATTTCTAAGACCCCAAATTCTTAGACCCAAATTTAAATTTAATTTTTAATTCTAAAATTTCTAAGACCCAAATTAAAAGGCAAGGGAAGCAAATTATTAAAAGGAATGTACCTACTCTACAATAGTACACTAGCTATTGTGCTTCAAACGCTTAGTCAGTATGATTTTTAATTTCATTATTATTAAATACATTTCCTAACCTTTCTTTTCTACGACTTTCTGAATCTGATAGGGCCTGTCTTTATACTTATATATAGTACAATTCAATGCAACTTGCATTTGAAAGTAAATAATAAAGAAACTTTATACATCGTGTGATCTATTTTCGTTCTTTTGCTCTGACTAAGCAATTTAATATGTATTAAATTTAAATTATTTTGAGTAACTTGTAATCAAAAATTCATATTTAATTCATATTTTCAGTTGGAGAGAGCTAAACTCTACATGGAAGCATGTGCCAAGCAAGAACTTTTTGCTTCTGTGCCACCACTGAATTTTACATGTGAAAACAAGATAGCTGGGGGTTATTATGCTGATATAGACACTGGCTGTCATATTTTCCATTTATGTGCTCCGAGCAATCTTCAAACTCTGACTGATCACCCATTCTGTTGCCATCCTGAATTAGTGTTTGATCAGAGGTTCCTTGTCTGTGATAGACCAGAAAACGTAGACTGCCCAGTTTCACATCGATATTATAGCGACCAGTTTGATGGTCCTGTCAAAGTACAGCAACGTGAAAATGAGGAATTGCAAGCTAGAAATAAAGCCAGGCAATCACGAGGAAGTGATGATGATGGTGATACATCGGAATCGGAAGAAATACGTGACGATGACAAATCTTCCTCGCACTTGTCCAGTCATGAAATTTCTGAAACAAGCGATCAGTTTGTAGAGAATCCTGGTAAAGCTATCACACTGCCACCTGCATTTCGACAGCGCTGATGATTCTGCTTGTGTAATTTATTTCTTTTCCTTCTCTAGTATGCAAGTGATGAAATGATTTGATGAATGCCTTCAGACTTAAGAATTTATGATTTTAGATAATATCGAAGAAAAGATTGCAAATGTTGGTGATTTTTGTACTTGATACATCTCGAACAGAAGTGATTTGTGAAATAAGTCATAAACTGAAACTGACATTTTCTGCATCAGTAAGTCTTAATTTTTGGATGCAAACTTAACTGTACAGAGACATGCATAGACGAACTGAGGAGAGCTTCTGAGAAATGTGCGGTGCAAATATATGTCGAGTTATATATGTAATACTAATTTAAATATGACAAAAACTAAAAACATTCTGGTGCCAAATATATATATTATGATATAAATTATAGTGATTGTTTGAAGCTGAGTGTAATGTTACTATCAAAAAAAAAAAAAAAAAGGAATTCTTTCAATATTAGTGTATTTTTATGCTATTTTTCAAAATTTTCTAAATAACCAAAATATTTTCTCGTTAGAGATTTAGATTCCACTTTATGAATAAAGCTGTTTTAAGCATAATTTTAAACCATATATTAGCAGAAAATAAAAATAATGTTTAATGTTCAAAATATTAAAACTATTTTTTTCCTTTTATGACTTCTATTTGAATTTATTTTTCATGTAGTAGAACGTAGTTTTGGTTAACTTATTCAGGCTACTAAACGCTCTTCATGTTATCGGACAGAAACAAAAAGAACAGCGATAAATTATTTATGTATATTGCCTTCCAAAAGATTAATGCGCATCAGTAAATTTGACGAAATGCAAACTGGTATACTTTTGATTGCCTCTAAATTTCTCAAGAAGTGAATCATTGGAGTTACGTATTCACGAATATATTAATAAAAACCGAAGAAAATATATTTAGCTGTATTTTAATCATTTAAGTGTTTATTTTATACTGTACATTGGGAAAATGTTTTGTCCGTTACACTAATGAAGCAAACAAACCTTAGTATGGCATGTGACGTCTCTATTTAGATACAAACTTTGCACTGTCGTTTTGTTCGTTGATCCAGTGCAGCAAATGATATTAATTTCCAGAGCAGTTTTCAGTTTTTTGAAAGGAATTAAAGAGTCATTGAAAGGAATTAAAGAGCCAAGGCAAGGACATCGCAAAGAGTTTCAAACGGATTTGAATTCCGGAGAATACGTTGTATACTGCATTGTTCACTCTCAGCGTGCTTTCATCTGCCAGTCACCATGCTTTGTACATATAAGGATTATCGACCGTAAAACAAAAATCTGAACCTACTGATGTAGAGCAGAGTTTTACAAAGATTTCAAAGACTTGATCCCAATAATCTTCCCTTATCACTATAACTCTTATGAGATGGGAGAGTTATCGTAAAGAAAATAAGCGCCGCACCGTCACATTGCTACGGACAAAACCGTAGTATTCAATCAACATCATTGTTGGGTTAGTTGCACTTTCCTTTCCATCTCCAAGCCATTAATCATTTAATGTCTAAGGCACTGATGCGCGAAGTGGACATTTGACTTTTGTGCTTTTGTCCAAGTCATAGTTTAACGGCACTACTTTAATCATGCATCTCTGATCCTAGCACTAAAAAAGAGCACAGCTTTTTGGTGCCCGGCCATGCAGTCCTTTGTTATTTATCCTTCAGTTTTCTATGCTGGCAGATATCGACTTTCCCTTCTGAAGTGGTAGCCATTGTTCAGAGAGTTGATGCAGCTACTCGGCGATTACGTTTTGAAAGTAAAGCAAAGTACTGATCATTAGAGGGGCTTTTGATCCTAGAACGACTTTCTCTAGATAATTGTGTCTTATATAAGCGACAGTATAATACACAGAAATGAAACAGGGGCGTTTTCGATGGACTCTGCTTTACTTCAAACCTTATAGCGCTAAGAAGATCTTAATATATTTTTCTGCTATAATAAAGTTAATCTAATCCGCATCAACGTTAACACTGTCGGACAGTTTTCCTTGGTACATTGAAACACTTAGGCTCACGTTTGGTCATAACATTTGAAAATTTGCATTGATTCCCGACGATAGTGCATGTTTCTTACAGTAAATTCCATGGCGTCAAGTCTCACTATTTGAGAATTTACTTTGCGTTCTTAATTTCTAAGAGGCAATATATACTCGCTGCGATCAATATGTTAAAGCCCAAAGTATACTCTGAGAAAATTAAGGCTTACGCCCTTTATTTATCTGCTTCAGCTGTATACCAGATTTGAATGAGAATCCTCCTAGAAAGAAATGCAGAGTTCTTGCAGCTCTTTTTATTTACTATTAGTAGTCTCTCAAGTTAGCTTTCCTTATATTTTGCATTCAAGTAGTAACAAATTGCTTTAAGTTTTTTTTTTTTTTTTTTTTTTTTTTTGAGTTGAATATTTATTTTGTCTATTATACAATAATACATATGATAATTTATTATATTTACTTTTTTAACTTTTAAAATTATCTTTGAACAAGTTCTACTAATACTGCTTTAAATATTATTTTAATTCGCCTAACTTTGTGAAAAAATAAGTAAATAAGTTAGGTCTCGAATTTTGTTATTGTTTCATATATTGTTTTTTCTTTGTTCTACTTAGTACTATAATTTTAACCTAAATTTGAGGTTCCTGTTGTGTGGACTACATTGCTTGCTAACTCACGTGTAAGTTTTTATGATTTCATTATTAGGACCTTGTAAGGATTATGCTAATTTTATTAACAGTTAAATTTTGAGTTAAACTTCCTTTCCTATCGATTCTTAATTTTAATTTACCACTTCCGGCCAGAACGTTTTTTTAGAATCACGTCTGAATGCTAATAAGGAAGAGCGGTATTTAACTGCGAAGTTCTGTCTTAGTGAGAGAGATACCAGATATTCTGGCTGCACGCGTCCGCCGTTTTAGGCTACTCTCTCGTAAGCTATTATTACGCTCGGCTTTACTTTATGCCCTTGATAGCTTCGAAATCAATTAGCGTTAAGGGGCCAACTCTGTTAGAATGTTGATAGCTTCGGCTATATCTCTTTTTAGTTAAGGTTAGTTTAATTCTTAGTCTCTTAAGTTGAAGCCCAAGTGTCGGCTTTATTGCACAACTCCAAGACGTAGTTCTGTTAAATATTGATTGAAATAATAAAGGCAACAAGATAGGAGGGTTATTTTACCCTTCTATCTTGTTGTTTCCTGTCACACGAACTGAAGCAATTATTCGCTTATCAGTCTTCACTTTCAACGGTAACTTAGAATTACACAGTGGAGAATCCTACAACCTTTATCAGAGAGAGGAGGACTTACGAAGACCTTGAAATTTGAGATTTTGATGAGCACGTTCGTACTGACGAATCAGGCAACAGATCTGATCACTTTAGAATGCTTGGAACGTAGTGTCTAGTTATAAGTATCTGAATATACATCAGGAGAATAGAACTTGCATTAAAAATGCATCAGAAAAAAGAAAATAAAAATCGGAAAGCTTTAATATTTTATATTACGCCCAAAGGGACGTTTTTAACGTTTTGTGCGTTACCTTACTTATTACATATCATGTTCTTCGCACTTAAACCATAAAATTCAATTCAACAGCAATATCACAAATATTTAAAAGATCATATCTTTAGAATTTCCGACACATAGTCACGCACGCTGGAGATAATTCCCCCCCCCCACCGTACAGTGTTGTCATTTCCATTGATTTTTCCTCCGTACAATGTTGAAATCGTTGAGTTTGTTAATCAAACATTCTTTAATGTTTGACAAAATATGAAATAGATAATAAAACAAATTCAAAATTCCAAATTTGGGCTTCCAGATGCCCATGTTCGAATGGAGGACTACGTTATTCAAAATTTGATGTCTCTAGGTACCGTTGTTTTCCACAGTGCGAGAAACATACATACATTCATGCAGATTCTTCATTACTTTATTTCTTTAAGTATAATGCAGGGCTCTAATGTTTGGTGGCAACAATTTGAAAAGTGAACCGAGATTTATAGTGAACAGACGAAATGCTAAAACGAAATAAGTAGCCCTTCTGGGCATATTGCCTGTTTGGGCTAAAAAGTAAATCAGAAATAAAAGAAGTATCAAAAACTAAAATTTTGGATGTAAGCTATTTATCATCATTCTTAGATTCTAGATGCGCACCAAAGTGATCCAAATCAAGTATTTTTCTTTTTTAACAATTAGTTGAAATGGTAGGAGTAAGTTCGTAGATAATTTGGCTTTGAGAAATTATCTTAATGGTAGGTATTTATTTGAAGAAGGAAACATGAGATGTCAACTCCAGACTCGCCTGGATTTGAACTCCGAATCTTCCAACAGTCGGCTCAGTGTGCTACCAGTTACACCAAGAGAGCAAGCAAAACTTCCTTATATTTTCCTCCACTTGAAGGGCGACTGAGGAGAGGGGAACAAGATCCAATTGGCCAAACTCAGATGATGACGAATTATTGTCCACCACATTTTTAGTCGACATGACTGAGTTTTTAGACTTCATTTCAAGAGTAGGTGAAAGGAAAAGTCAAGAACCACGGATCTTCCGATTGCCAAGCGGATGTTATTTACCATTTACACCACGAAAACACGTACAACAGAAAACGAACTCCAGTTGCTAAATTCTGGTTGTGACGTCCACCGTATTTTAGTCGGGCGCCATTGTGGAGATATATAGATTTTTTTGAAGCCAGGAAAACGTGACAAACCAGTTAATACCCTCGTCAGGATTCGAGCTCCGTATCTTCTGAATGCCAACCGCACATTCTACCATTTATACCATGAAAGCGCGCCGTGGGGAAGTATAAATGCCGTGGGGAAGTATCTTTACAACGCCGTGGGGAAGTATAAATTCTACATACAGTAAGAGTTTATCAGTTCAGGCTTGCATTTGCTTTTAACAGAGCTTTTAAGCTCGAATTTGCATTCTAGCTGTTATTCTGTCTGCTAATAGAATTTTAATGAGCACACAAAAGACAGCAAATTAACATAGACCAATATTAGTATGACATGTCTTATTATATATTAGTATTACACAGTTATTGTTCATTCAAGCATTAATATTTGTGCTGGAACATGTATAAAACAGAAGTAATATACTTTTAGCACGCAAGTTTTTTTTTTTTAGGTTTCCGTGGTCTTTCTTTATACTAAATTTCTCGGAAATTGTTGCCCCATTTTAGTTTTCATTCCGGCTAATGGAATTTTATTTCTTACTTGATACCTAATATCTCAAACCAGAATCATTTTTCTTGCATTTGTTGCATGATATCACTTCCAAAGTCGTCTCTGTTCTCAATTTGAACTTTTTGTTTTTTATTTGACCTAAAATCTACTCAATTTTGTCCTTTGATATAAAGCTTCGTATATCATTTTAATCTAAGAATATTTTCTAATAGAAATTGAATAATTTTCAAGTAAACTTAATTAATTAAAAATATTGTGTAATTATTCAGTTTCTTGTTTTTTTTGAATGTTTAACAATATCATTTTATGTTGAGGTGACTGACATAGATAATTATAGTCCATTTAACAAGTAAGATTAATTTTAAAAAACTTTATAAATATTGAGAGATTAATCAAAATGTATCTATAAAGTGATTTTAACTAATAGAATTGGAAGACAAGGGAGGTCAATAAAATAAGTTCAATTTCCCATGCACAAAGTTGTTATGAACATGATAGTTTTTTTTTTTTTTTTTTTTTTTGTTGTTGCAAATCCTTAAAAATTTTATCGTAAAATATGATCTATATTTTACGATAAAATTTTTAAGGATGATTTAATTTTTTCAAAGATGATTTAATTTTTTTTATTATTGTTGTTTCTTTGAGAAAGATAAATCTGTTGTTGCATTATAAAAATATATATTTTGTATTTGATCATAAAATGTTTTTCAAAAAACTTTAATAGTTTGAAACAATAATTAATATTAATATAAAAGGAAGAAACACAGCAAGCTAAAGATTCCGATGAAAAGAGTATGCTGGTTCATTGACCTTTTTGTACGAAGATGAAATAAATAAATACCTATTAGACAACAATACCTGGTAAGGGTGAAAGTACTAAGAATGAAAGTTCCATCCCTCCCATAGAGAAATGCAGCCCATGCATTAAACCTCCGCACAAGTTCTTATACTTGGAAGATCTTTACAACGCTACCTGTTTTGCAGCTTGTTTATTTGAGGGCGGGGCGATTCCACACCCACTGGTAATACCGATGTCGACTACATTCCACACCTCACATACCATACTCCAACGCTAAGTGCTTCCATTTCCTTATTGTTAATCCTGCATACTGTTCTTCAACACTGAAACATCTTCCCCCGCCTTCCCCACTCTTTCTCAGGTTTTTCCTGTTTACCAAAGTAAGAAACTTTCCATTTTAAGAATAGAAAAATCTCATCAGTACATCCAAGATGGATACTACGATTTTTTTTATTCACTTTGAATCATCAGAGGTGAGTCACTTGATAGAAGGCCCAATATGCAAGAAACCCACGTGATATAACTAATTATCATTTTCAGAATAATCAAATAGAGTTTTAAATACTTAGGGTCACTTCTTTTTAAGGAAACGAAAAACGTTTTTTAAAAAAAATTTATCAGCTGCAACTTGTAAAGCCAGTTCTTCCTATATAGCAGGGTTTCTTAAACTGTGGGTCGCGGGACCTGCAGCAGGGGTCGCCAAAAATTTTAGCAGATTTGATATTTCTTTAACTTATTATACTAATTTTACATTTATCAAACATTTTTACACAATATATCTGAAAATAGATAAAGACAAAACAATACAGACAAAGAAAAAAAAACGAAGACGTTTCGACGCATTTCTTTTATAATAAAAACTTTTAATTTTCCTTGCTTTGCACGTGACGCTGTCATTTCGTCTGTTACTTATTTAAAATTTTCACATTGTTCTATGACTTAAAATTAGAAATTAAAGTTAATGACCTAAAACTGCAATAGTATATTACAGTACAAGTGAAAATATTAACAGTTTCACTCACGCGTGTGTCGGATTTGCACAATACTTGTGGGGTCCCACGAAATTTTTGTAAATATTATGGGGTCCTGGGGGATCGCGAAAAATTCTCAGTGACTGAAAAAAGTTTAAGAAACCCTGCTATATAGAAAAAAACTTTTAAAAAATCAAAAACGAATTTAGAAAATGATGAGATTTTTTAAATATTTAGTACACAGTAAAGTTTGTCACTTTAAACCTTTCCCAAAAATGCTTTGCAGAATTTTGAAAAGTTTTAATGAGGAAATGACAGCCTTATGTTGTATGTTTCTCAAGCTGAATTTCGCAAAATACTTTTGCAAGTAGAGTTTGATGGAATTAAAAGGAATTCTTAATTGCATAGTGTTCTTTAATGTTTATCATATTGAAATCTAAAAATAAAATATTTTTGTGACCTTGATGTTCATAAATTGAGCTCTCAAGTTGCAGAAAACAAATATTTTCCCACTTCAGTATACGCATATTCTGAATATTTCATATCCAGTTGTGGTTTTTAAATGCCAATTATATGGTTGGGTGTAACCCATTGTTCAGAAGTTTAAGTAAGCGAAGAATAATTACTCTTGTTTTCAAGAAAAACTTAAAGCAAACGCTATTCCGTCAAGGTTATTAGTTGCGCATTTAGTTTTAATATTTTATTGCTTTCATCTTTTATTCGCTGTGTATTCTTAGTAAAATGATATCTAAATTTCGTATTAATTGTGTAGATGAAAATTAAATTTTGCGTGGCAAAGAAATTTTTTCCCTGCGTTAATATTAATTCTAATTTAACTGTTGATTTTTTTTGTGTGTGTGCATCGCAGGAAATGCAACATGTAAATAATTCGATGTTACAATAATGATAATTTTTGAAGATTTGTTATTTACATGAAATGTTGCAATGTTCTGAACTAATTTATGGCTATTATATTGCCAATATTTCAATGTTCTTATATATATAATCTGAAAACAAAAGTTGTCACATAGCATGTATTGGAATTAAACCATCGAGTTAAACCTGAGAAACGAATCCTGAAAAATTACATTGGCATCTAAAACTACTGCCCACATCCATCCAGATATATATGAAAAGTATTTTCAACAAAGAATATGGTTGGAGACAAAAGAAACAAAAATTATATCGAAGATTTTTGTTAAAAATGTTTTCCGGTTCAGTGCAAAATATATTAAAGACTGAGACATTATGAGTATCCAAGAGAAATCTGGTATGGAGAGTTCCCAAACTTAGATAAAATAACCTTATCTGTGTATTGAAATAATCATTTTCTTCCAACTTAACGTTTCCCCTTGCTGTGATACGTCCTGTATATGATAAATGCAATGAAAACGAAACACTGAAAGTCTGTTTGCAAAGCAATACCCTGAATTAGACCAGAAGTTTGCGGTTTACATGGAAACTTGATTTTGAAATATTAAATAATTTAAATAAATACTTTCAAAATATTGAATAATCTTAAGGCTCTAGTGCAGGAAGAATTTTGAACTATTTATACGCGGAACTTAACAGGTATGAGATTTTGAACCTATGTTCTGCTTCTTGAATTCCGTATGAAACAATATTTTTATTTTGCGCATTATAATATGTAACATTATTACAGCATTACAGCCTATAGCTACTTTTATTTATTATTTACGTTTATTCTTTATGCATTTTTATTTTTATATTTATTTATTTATTTTGTGGAAAAATAAAATGGTAAAGCAATCGGGAAAGAACACAGATCATTTTAATATACACTTCGTTCTGAATGTAAAGATTTTTCAATCAATGAATTAGAATTGAGGAGATAATTTGTGCAAATTAGAATTCGAAAATTCTCATGAAGCTTTCCTTGCAAAAGTTGGTTAAATACATATATCTGTATCGTCGACTTCATCTCGGGGGGGGGGAAGGGCAAAAATCTGAGTAAGAGCAAACTGAAGAATTGTAGCGGAGTATTTAACTCTTTCTCTGCAATTTTCAATAAATTTTCTAAAATCAGAAGATTAAAGATCTTTATAGTGAAAACTGAGATGCCAGGGAAATTCGAGGAAAGGAGCATTTAATGTTTATAAAACATCTTCTCTTTGAAGTTAGTTTTCTTCTGCGGTAGAAGTGCAACATTATAGACCTTATTCCCACGCATGAACAAAATTTGTAAATCATTCGCTTAGAATTTCAAAGTTAGCATCATATTTCAGAGGAATTTTCAAATCCTTAAGACACATTATTTTTTCCCCTTTGGTTTTAGTTTTGGAGCTAAGTCTTCAAAAGGAATTTTTCTTCAACTTCGGCAGTAGAAAATTCCTTTACAGAAGATTTTATTTTATAATAAAATAAATGCTGAATTACTCTTAATTCGGCTGCATAATCTTCATCCGCTATCATCCCGTAAATTTTGTAACTATTGAAATGGCGTTCATTTCCCGAGTTGTTCCTAAGCAATTTTATTATAATATATTCGCTTTGCGGGAAGAAGTAGCTGCTTTAGTTATCGCGATGATCACAGCTGAAAGAAACTGTATAATTATAGAGTTTAACCTTCTTTAGTAGCCTAACTCCTAACAGACATAAAGCGAATCATCGCTTAGTGTGAAGTAACAATAGAGTCTTGAAAAGGTTTAAAACAACCTATTTATTAAATCAAACTCGTACTTACACATTAACTAACATTTACGGCTGTGTAACTTAAAGTTACAGTCAAAACCAAATTTAAAAGAAACCTCGTAGTCAACCTAGTAGTACACAACTGAGTTAACTCGAAGTTGGCTCAAAAACTTCTCACAAGCGTCACAATTTAAATGTAGGCAGCAATAACGCAAAACGAAATAATTAAAATCTTATCAGCGCTAGCGAAATTTAGTAACGTGGTCTCGAGAAGCAGAAATGCGTTCTGCCTTACGGTCCAAAACCCTCGACTAATACTCACCTAATTTGCATTCTGGTGAGGAAACGAAAAGGAGAAGTAAAGCTGAAATTATAAATAACTGGTTACTTAAAATGATAACCTTATAAGGTATTTCTCCAGCCTTCTTATCATGCCTTCGTAGTGTAGTGGTCAGCACGTTCGGTGCGTATTCGAAAGGCATATGGTTCGAAACCCGGCGAAGGCATAGCTCATTTTTCATCGATCCTGCTTTCAAAAAATACCTAATGTCTCTACAGTATCGCCCGAACTAAAAAAAGGTGGTGGATTATGATTCTCCACCACCAGGATTTGGCGATTGGATCCCCTAAAACGGCAGTCTCCCTTTAAAAGGGGGAGTATGTAAGCTATTTCTCCCGCCTTCTTAGAATGCCTTCGTGGTGTAGTAGTCAGCATGCTCGGCGCGTATTCGAGAGGCCTGCGGTTCAAGTCCTGGCGAGGAATTGCTAATTTTTCATCTCTCCTGTTTTAGAAATAACCTAATGTCTCTACAACCCTACACACTTATTTGGATATATTGATTCTGCGTTGAATCCATTCTCACTGCGTTGAATAAAGCCGTGAGAATGATTAGTACTATAAGAGGGGCAAAATGTGGTTTTTAATCCAGATTATAGTAAGGATAATGACATTATGAAGCGTATAATGATTGATAATTATATATATTTTTTATACCTTCAGAATAATTACTTCATACATGTTTCAAGTGCATAATTTAACGATTAAGTATAGTATCTGAAGCAGTTGTATAAAACATGAAGTATAAAATATTTGAAGTTAATACTGAAATTTCAAGGACACATTTGGAAACTACTCTCACGGTCGTAAGACCTGAGAGCTCACCATCCGCTTTCTCACAGAACCGTTGAAGTGGCTGACCAAATTTTCTTAATTTTTCACTCACGCTTTATGGAGTGGTTGTGTCGTTGTATGTTCCTTCTTCTGAATGGGATGAGACTTGTTCCAGCCAAACATTTCGTTGGTGTGGGGCCATCGTTTAAGTAATTGCATTTAACTGGGAGTTACGTAATGATTTATTTTCCCCAGAAACTATGAACCTGAGACCTCATGATCTTCAGCTACAAAGCTTAATTTCTTTCTGATCTTTGTTGACTGGGTGCGCCTTTGCAAGTTAAGCAGATTCTTTTGTTAGAACTGTGTTGTTTAGCAATAACTTGCATATTTGGCGTAACTTTTGAAAATTATTTTATTTTATTCATGTGTCCTTTTTATTTCCGTTTACCAGAATTTCTAGACTTTATAATTTGAAGAACTGGAAATGTGATTTTTTTCTTCAACGTGTGCAAAATGTTTTAATTAAATGTCTTTTAAAAATTATTAATTTTATTTTGAAGGGGCATTAATAGCACTATGTAGACTGAAACGCTGTTTAACTAATATGTTAATTAATAAGAAGTTTAAAATGATCAATAACACCAAAAAATATAAATAATTCAACAATCGTGTAGTAAGAAGCGAACTTTCAAGGCACTCAAAATTTTGTTTCAACAGTAATGCCCTTTTAAACGCAGTGAAAACGCTTCTGAGTCTAGTGTGTTGCAGGTGAAACATCGGGTACAAAAACGTGTCGAAGAAAAAAATAGCACAGGGCGAAAACATCATGGTATAAAACATAGTGGGAGAAAAGAAAACAAGAAGAAAACATCGCAGGTCTAAGTTAAAATAAAACTTCACAATTTCAAAAAACTCCGCAGCTCAAAACTTTGCAATTTAAAAACATCGTCGTGGAAAATATCGTGATAAAAAATAAAGCACTTATACAAACCATCGCATAACGATGCTATAAATAATGCAGACATGTATTTTCCATGCTTTAAAGTTGTAAATGCATGTTCGTGTAATAATTGGTGAAGGAGCAACGAATATTTTTACTTTTATATTTCATATTTTTGAATTAACTTAAGCATTCAAAAACTGAAAAAATTAGAAAAAATAATGGTATTTGTAGCAATTGGTGTAATTTTATTATTAGTTAATTAGTCTCTTTTAAAGTTGTAATGATAATTTTTTATGAAAAATGTGGTCTAAAAAGATTAGACAGAAGATGAGTAGCTGCATGGGGTTACTTATATTAAAACTGTTTAATTAATTATCAGATTGTAAAAATATTTTATTTCTGCTTTATTAATTTGATATTCTTCTAGTCAAAATTAAATCTTACTTTGTGTCAGTTTCTTCGTTTCTTCTTCTTCTTAAAACGTCATTAACATTTTTATATACAATGTGCAGTCAATCGTTTGGCTGTTTATTTGCTAGTTATGACGAAATACGTCAGCTACGAAATACTTCAGTAGAGGATTTGGATTTATTGAATTATGGTAAAGCACGCTAGGGCTATCTGCGTAACAGAAGAAATGAATTTGTGGAGGACTTTCTCAGAACTGGCTTGTATCTGCATTATGCACTGTGAAAACCACAAACTCGCATGCATCCAGCTCGTCAATCACCTAGTCAGCAGTGGAAATATTAATGGAAACAGTTCTTTTTTATATCAGTCGAACACTGGTAGTTCGACCTGGCAAACGAGTTCGTTGCATGAGATATTCAAGGTTTCTTAATGTATAAGGGGTGTTCAAATGATAAGGTACGAAACGAGACTATGGATATATTGAAGTCTTTATTCGCAAGTAATCACCAAAGGCCTGAGCACAACTATCCCACTTTTTCACGAGCCAAATGATTTCTTCTTCCCAGAATTCCTGTAGCCGTGACAGGAGCTAGTCCTCCTCTATGTCCTTCGGTTCGTCGTCCGAGTTGAAGCGCTTCCCTTTGAGATGTCACTTCTCATCAGGTCGTCCACCTTGTCGATGAGTTCAGGTCGCCCGAGTCCAAGCCCTCATCAGGTCGCCCGGTCTCGGGCATCACTCAAACACTCCAAGCCAAACTGGCACTCCACTTTCTCACTATATGGCGATGAATATTGGCTGGTTTAAATCCTTCCACAGTTAGAAATCTGATAACAACTCGCTACTCCTCAGTCGTCGAATTTTGCAACGTGAATCCCATGATGTGCTCACACGCATTTCCGCATCAACTGGACGGAACATACAACTACCTGCTTCACTCTTGCGTCATGTGCGTGAGCCCGCGTATGCGCACAACCACGACAAACAGAACAGTCGCGTCCTTAGGTGTCTCACTACGCTATGCCAAAGCGGCATATTAAGATTTCAACCGGTTTATTTGTTACGATGTGTCGTACCTTTTCATTTGAACAACCTTTATATAATTTGAATGCGAGCAAGTTTCTGAGAAAATTCTCCACGAAGACATGCCTTCCCTTAAGCAGAAAGCCTAGTGTGCTTTGCTGTAAAACAATAAATCCAAATCCCTCACTGAAATACTGAACATCTAACATGGTTCTAATCATGATTAACTAGCAAATCAACTTCCAAATAATTGATTTTACGATTTTGATTTTTAATTGATTGACACTTTCAGAAGACGAAGAAACTGAAGCGAGATAAGAATTAATTTCTGCTAAAAGAATGTCAGATTAACAAAAGTGAAAGAAAATAATTTTACAATCTGAAAATTAATTAACGAATTTTAATATAGGTAACCTTATATAGTTACTCAT